GACGATTAGACAGACATCTTCCCCCGCTCAGAGGAAACCACTGCGCATGTCTGGAGCTCCGCGTGCGAGTTGAGGGGGTGGCGATGGGCGACAACAGACATGTAAGTCACGTTATTGCTTGGATTTTACAGCGCCACCTTAAGTCCCTGAACTTAACATTTTAACGGACGAAAAGCGCAACGCGACTTGGATGTAACGAGTAACGGACAGTTTAGTAGAAATGTAGTGAAGTAGAAAGTACAGATACTTACTGTAAAATGTAGTGGAGTAAAAGTAGAAAGTATCCATTATTAAATCTACTTAAGTAAAGTACAGATACACGAAAATTGTACTTAAGTACTTACTTTCCACCACTAATTTTAAAGTAATACTTTGCTGGATTATTTAAGAGCTTGATCCACTATCACTGAACACAACTGAAGTTCCATAAAATCTCATGGTAAAAGTCGCATTAAGACACAATCAGAGCTCATCATGCTAAACCGATCCTCCACGCAAAATCAGTCTCCAGCTTTTTATTATGTTAAAGTTTTAAGAAGAAAGAATAACAGGGACCGCGACCGGTAAAATTGTTGCTTTGTAAGTCACAACAAGTGTACATTTTATCTTTAGGTTTTAAGTAACACCATGCTTATAAGGTACATGATTGTTGGTAAATAATATAACACTCAACACAAATCCTAATCATCGATCTCTACTGGATCTGCTCCTCTCTTCTTCTGCAGGCCCTGGATTAACAGGAACCACTGATGTTTGTCTGTTCTGTAAGAAAAAAACAAAGTTTTGCTTCTTTTACATTGTTGTTTTGATGATACAGTACTTAATAAATTAAAATAAAAGTTGGTCATTTACATTATATTCATTTAGCCACAAAAGGAAAGTTATTAGTTATACTCTACAATTCAGAGGGGAAAAGGTTTTAGACATTTTAATGAGATCCAAATTTTTTCAAAGTTTTGACAAACCTTAAAGTCTCTTCAGCTCGTGGAGTCGTTTCAGTGAAGTTAGCGTTCGTGGAGGGAAACTTGCTGTCGCTGTTCTGCTCAGTCAGAAAGTTACTAATGTCAGAAAAATCTGCTGTCATGTCATGAGCTGGCAAAAAAATCAACAAACCTGTTTGCAAAAAAAGAAGTCACATCGTATTTTCACTGAAGACTTATTAAATAGTTTCATGATTTTGGTTATGCCTGTAGAATTTAAACTGAGGTAACACTGAACAATAAATTGTTGGGAAAATAGTGTGAAAAAGAGGAGATATTAAAGACATGCTAACCTAAATGGCTGCAAATGCAACCATTGCTGAAAATGAATCAAACTCATGTAACACAGATTCACTTCTCTGCAACACTTTGAGACACCAAGCTTTATGCTTTTCAAACCCTTGTTATTTGGTCAGTTTGATTTCAGAAGAGCCGATAACATTTTTATTACAGAAACATAAAATTTACTCTATTAAAATTTACTCATCTTTAAGATGACTAGAAGAAGACACACTGCGTACACTGAGGGCGATGAGTTCAGCCAAAAGTAAGACATTCAGGATTTCCAAAGATGCAGCCACATTGAGCCATATTGAGGCAGAGCCTCTCTTTGGAGCTGTTCGAACATTAACAAAAAACCTGAACCTTAGCAAAATTAATTAAATACATACTAGATTTCTCTGTAACTTTATTCTTACCTGTGTGGTTAGATGCAGTTTGTCCAACAGGTTCCATGTTGACATAAATTTCCTCCATCGCTTCAGACTCTGTGCTGCTTTTAACATTGACTATAAAAATCCACTGCAGTCGTGGAACTAAGTGGAAAAACTGTGGGAAAGAGGTGAGATGTGTCTGGTGTTCAACATAAAAAGTAAAAATTTTTAGAGATAACAGTCAAATAAAGAAATTCATGTGTGCGGTTTCACTATTATTTTCTTAAATATCTTACACGACAAGATTCTTGAAGGTTTCAGTAGTTTCATAAGTTCATGTTTGCTGATTCGGTTCTGTATCAATGAATATTTATTTTTCCTTTGTTTTCCTTCAGCTCGGTTAGTCCTACTCATAATAAACACATTACACTTTTCTATCGGTGAAGAAAATAATTGACTTTTACATTCATGCACAACTTTGCGGTCTACTGCATGGTATCAAAAATTAAAAATAGTTTTAAATCACTGATATAAGGATGTTGTGATGTTCCTGCTCCTTGTGTTCAAAAATATTTCCTAAAGGCTAATAAATTGTTGGAGCAGATGACTGGTTCTCTCCTTGGGCTTATATGGACCCATCAGTTTTACAGGTCTCATTCTGTCCTGAAAACTAGTCATAGCCCAGTAAATACAACTATCAACTATTTTATTTCTAAATCCTTGTCTTACTGCCTCACTCCAGTAGCAGAAACACTGACATTAAGAAACAACAATCCCTGAATTGCGTTATTACAAAACTTCTATAACCGCTGGATCTAATAATTGTGAAATTGGAATTGGAATTACGATGAAGACTGTAAACAGCAGCTCTCTCGTCTTGCCCAGTAGAGGGCGCGAAGAGAGAAGATTAAAAGTCAGTCATGGACACCGTAAACATAAATACAGCCTGTGTGATGGGACCAGACTGCGACTGGAAAGTGGGCTTTTAGAAATACAAATTAATGTTAGAACACGTTATTGTTATTTGTGGTTGGTGTAGTATTCGTAGTTTCTTTTTATTTTTCTTTTACTTGTTAATTAACAAGTAAAAGACAATTAACTTTCAGTTAATGACAGTTAATTGTTAATTGTCCTGGTTTGACATTGGGTCAACATATCCTAACAGATAATAATAATAATAATAATAATAATAATAATAATAATAATAATAATAATTTAGAATAATTGCTTGAAACTTTACTCAGTTTCTACACGTCGTCTGTCAGATATCTTAACGTTGATCTTGTAACGTTAACCGTAAATGACTGGAACGTTATTTTATTTGTACATTTCAAAACTATTATGATGTTACACAATGTGTTAATGATGTCAGCTCTCGTTCCTTAAATAATTGAGTGTTCCCTGTCCTCCCTTCCTCTCCGTCATCATCATCAGATCAGACTGTCATGCAGCATCCTTGGTACGTGCACAGCCACACTCCGCTCATGGCAACACAGTACACAAAGTAAGCCGAGTTCAACCACTCCACACCGGAGGGGTCGGACCGCTCGCAATCAAAACGGCTTTAAACCCACACAAACCAGCTCGAATGGCTGCTGCCGCCTAACAGGGTGTTTAATTAAGATTAAAGGAACCTTTGTAGTAAAGAGCTGCTTCACCAATACGAAGCAGGGCAGGGAACTGCTGAACTGGGAATGGTTTATTCCTGAAGTACGACGTGCAGAACTGAACGCGCCGCACCCCAACTACAACTCGAACAATCAACTGAACGTGCTTGTTCTTGAACATCCCGCCCATCGAGCTCCAGATATGTCAATTATTAACAAGAGGCGGGGCATGCGACTGCAGCGCGGCCTCGGATTGGCTGAGTGGGATGTCAGTTCGCTGTACATTTGCATAACCAGGTCGGGTTGCAGATGCATGGGAGTGGGCAGAGCGGGGGTAATGCAAGTGAACTGAACTTCTACGGCGGTGTAGGCTTTAGAATATGCCTAAATGCGGCCAACTTTAATCTTGCGCCGAGATTCCTTTAATAATGAAAGAAAAAAAAATCATTTTGAAAATATGGATATTAAATATCACAACCATGGAGCAGGAATTAAACTTTTTTATTTTTACTAAAAAATATCCTAAAAGAAAACTTGGGATTGGTAAGTACCGCTACATTTTTAATGAACATGAAGTCATAAAATGTGATACATTAATCACCGTGTAACGTTGTTATAAATGTCTTTATTTTGTGTTTACTATAACAATGTGTGAGAACGAAACTTTCTTTTTACCGTTTAGAAACAGTATGATGTGAGCTATATGTTAATGTACTGACTGATCCATAGATCATGAACAGGAAGTCGAATCTCATTTCACTCTGATGATATCACTATTACATAGTGGAGCAGATAGAATATTTAAAATAAAACATAGACGTCTTTTGTTTTATTCAGTTGTGTGACATTACATACTAAAATGATTATTTCTGACCAGTTGATTCATCAATGAATGATGATACAGTATACATTTATGCTCTACAGAGTGTGTGAGGCGAAATACTGTCACTATAACCTATGAGATCTAAAAGCAGGTAAGCCACTGACTAACGCACATTGTGCCAGTTGCCAGTTCCACTGTGCGTGTGACAGCGGCTAACCTGGTTTTGGGAATACCGCTCACTCCGCCTCGCCTCCAGACCAGCTTCAGCCGGACAAGGCAGACACCTATATGTACATGCTGTTCTTGATCATGTCCTGTGCGCTGCTGGGAAAGGCCCGATCCACTCGAATGCCCTCCCAGTGGTCTCCACTTGTACCGAGGCCAACTTCATCCTGTGCTGACATACCTTATTTAGAACCCAGGTGGCTTTTGCTTTGCATTCCCAGATGATCTTTTGCCATCGGTTGTGGCTGTTGGTGAGCTGCGTTTCAGTTTCTTTTTCATAACTGTGGGATTGATCAGTTTTCTTCTCAGCAATGACAAGTTTGGGGTCTCTGGGTCTCCAGAAGGCGAGGTTATTGTCACCTCAGTGGAAGGTTTTGATATGAGCTATATGGGTTTTCGTCCAGGGCAGGGTGGAGTGTGACGAGGACAATGCTCATAAAATAGGTGTTATTTGGTCAAAAATTAGATTCATATCCAATTCTTGTCTTATGATTCTGTGGTAATAAAAGGGCTATGTCAGCGTTTTCTTTTTTTAATGCATCAGAAATTTCTGGTATCATTTTTTTAGTACCAGAGATACTAAAAATTTCTGGTACATAAAAAGACTGTTTAGTCCGAAAATGGCAATTTTTTTTTAATTTTTTTTGCCCTGAACATTGATTCTATACGGCCCAATTTGAGATTTGTGAAAACTTTACTCTTTTTTTTGTGGGGCGTGGGGGAACATTTTAAAACACTGTTTTTAATACTTCCATGGCACGAGAACTCGCCTAATTTGAGACACAGTCTAAATGCACGAATCTGGACTGAATCTCCACTAAGTACAGTTTCTTTAAAACAGACTTTGTGAGGGCGACACGAGCCGCAGCGGTAGAGCGGGCCCATGTGAAGAAGCCGTCAGGCTTGGGCACAGCCGTGCGAGGTTCAACTCCTGACCTCAGGAGCTTCGCTGAAAGTTTTACTCTTCTTTCACTTCCCCATTTTATCTGAATTCTCCAAATAAAGATCACTGATGATACATATTGATTCATGTAAAAGTGTACCATTTTCACAAAATCTCTCTAAATCTCTTTAAAATGTATCAATCAAGACCATCTAAATGCTCTAATGTATGAAGTTTGTTTTTTGTGTCTTTGGTTGTGTGTGGGGTATGGGCTTGCCCAGGGTGCCATTCATGTTTGTTCCACAAAACCGCTGAAGTTGACTTCAGAATGTAGTTTTTTTTTTTTTTCCTGACTTTTGAATTAATGTAAAATAATATTCACCTAATTTCTCAGCAACGTCATATCGTTTGTGCATAAAGTGTATTGATATGTGCATAAAGTGAGAAGTAAAGTTGTGACTTAAACATTTGTTGCATAATCGCTGCTCAATTTGTCTTGTCATGTAGAGCATGTCTTCACAAGATTTGTATTTTTTTATTTTTTTTTTATTCCCACCTCATCTGTACTTGATGAGTCATTGTGACACGGAGGAAAAAGACAAGAGTTTGTCTCACAGGCTCTTTAACTTGAGCTTCCTGTCAACGTCATCCTGATGTGGGACGTGCAGACGCTTACGCTCATCTTCATTGAGAAGATTGTTCTTCCAGATGCTCAGTTTGATCAGTTTTCAGTGAGAAAAAGATAACACAAAATGTTACTCTTAAACTCCCAACACACAGAACTCCGAAAAATCTTTAGAATCCGGTTTTGTATCATTCTGGAAGTTTAGCTGTCTGGGTTACAATTTAAACGAGAAATGTTGAAAAGTTCCTCTTTTTAATAAAGTAAAATTCTAATCTAAGCTCAAGATCAAATAATACATTTAGCTTTATTGTATCCCTCAATATTAGCAATTTGAATGAGTTAGTCAGTGGGAAATGATGAATTTAACACTTTTGTAGTAAAACTAATAAACCTGTGTAATATTCTCCATGTCCACGAGAGGGCGATAGTGTACCACACGGCTTTGGGCTTGTCCCGACAGTGGGAACAAAACAAGGATTTGAAGCTTATCTAACCCTTACAAAGCCAAACAGTTCCAAATCTCCTCATTATAATCCAATTCTGCATAGTGGATCATTGTATCAAAACTTTTGGTGTCATGTGCTGGAAACATTGAAATACGGAGGCGGGGAATGATTTTAAGACTAAGATGAGAAGAAAGAAGGCTTGAAAAATGATGTACCTGCCCCGGGATGGCAGAGGAGGGTATTTTTAGAAGCCTACAGGGTATCAATCCGGGGTCAGCCAGAGCACACGGGGAGGCCTACGTCACTCAGAGTGTGGCAGACAGCAAATTTGGTCTCCAGGGTAAACAAACAGCAACTGGGTGGAGGACTAAAGTGGCGAGCAGGACCTTAGCGGATGTGTATTTATCCTGCAAAATGAAGATTTATAATCACTGGAGATAAACTGTATTAGTGGGACAGATTTATTTGATTTTTAGTATACTTAGGATTATCATACAAATACAAAAACTGAATAGCGTGTAGTTACAGATAGGTGTTTTAGGGTATTTCTTCAACTCTGCACCGAAACTTGTGTCCATTTGACCTTGCAAAATAACTCAGGCTGAGACAGACTGGAAAGAGCACCAGTGAACAGATTCTCAACTCAATTCTGCTGTAATCCAGACATATTCTTATATATAATGAAATTGTTGTAGCTCTGGCCTTATATTGAGTGTCAATGTCCTCATGGAAGGTGAAGCTTAGCCACAAAGTCAAATCTTCTGCAGCTTCTAACAGTTTCCCTTCCAGGATCGTCCTTTATTCGGCTTAATGCATCGTCTCAACATTATATATTCCACAAAGTTACCTTACAAGAGCTCCTCCTTCTTCCTCCTGTTTACTATGAAGTCTTTGTGGCAAACCTTAAACCAGACTTCCTATGGCTTTTGTTCAGACGTGATTTCCTCTTTACAACTCTTCTTCTTGCAAGACAGATTTCTGCATCATTAACAGTAATTCCTGTCCCCTACCTAAATTCCACCAGAGTTACCAAGGGCCTAAAGGGGCCTGAAAGCAAATGCACTTCACACTTGTTCAGGGTTGTCTTTGTTAAAAAAATAAAAAATTAAGGCACACTTGTAAGTCAACTGCTTACTGCAAGGATTTCAAATGCACAGTTTTCAAATAGAGTTTCTTATAATTTTATATTTAAAAAAAAATCACTCGACAAAAGGATATCTAAAACATGATTCACATTTTATTATTTAAATACACAGTCATAGTAATAATCTCTATTGGTCAAAGGTTCCTAAATTATTTTACATGTCATACAGATACTTTGAAATGTTTACAGTAGCAAAACGTTGTAAATATATCTTTCTTATTTATATAAAGTACTTGTAAGGTAAATTAATAATGAATGGAAATGTTAGGAAGCAAAAGGGGTTAAACAAGAGGTGACGGTGACAGAAAAGTGAACAACTTTCCCGTGGCCCTGCTGTCCGTGTTTTATCTCCATGACGACTCTCGGGATGTCAGGACTGCAAGACACAAAAACAGGTGGGGGATGATGATGATACCTTTTTTTTTTGTCTTTTTTTTCTTTTTAAGGGGATGGAAGAGGGGTGGTAAAACATTTTCAGCTAGAAAACATCCTTCCCTGCAGGTACACACACACCTGCAGGGAATACAGTCTGACACAGGATCGGTTTCAGGGTTAATTAATTTGCCCACAGATTTTGGGTATTACTTGAGGTCTGCAGTCAAAAAAAATTTATTTGAACACAAGTGAATATAAAAAGTGTCTATTAAAAGAACTGATATAGGCATGTATCTCCTATCTCAAAGAAAAATAACACTGCATATGTGAGGGAAATGCACACAAGACACACACAACAGTTTGACCAATCAGGATATTAGGAGGATTTGTCCTAAAATCCTAAATGCTTTAAAAACAGTACATAAACCTGAATTGTAGGGTATGAATTTCAATAGTATTGATTGAAACAGTTTTATAATTGTTATTAGGGCAAGCAGTGCCGTGGAGAAGCATTCATACTCTTGGAACTTTTCCACATTTTGTCAAGAGTACAACCACAAACTCCGAAAACAATGCAAAGCAGCACATAACTGCAGAGCAGAAGGAAAATGGTTTTCATAGATACATAGCTGGAGATGTGGAGTGGGTAGTATTCAGTGCTCTGCGTAAATCGTGTGCAGTTTGATAAGGTCTGGTCTTTCATTAGGCCTTTCAAACATCGTATTCTAATATGTGCGCATGATAAAGACCGTTCCTGCGATGGACTGTCGACCCGTCCAGGGTGTACCCTGCCTCTTGCCCGTTGCCAGCTGCAGATAGGCACCAGGACCCCTCCCGACCCCAGTGGGATAAGAGTGTAAAAAACTGAATGGATGGATGGATTAAGATCGTTGTCATGCTAGGAGGTGAACCTCCACACTCCCCGATGTTCTCTTCAGCCTCTAATTATTTTTTTCTTTAGCTGGTATTCAGTTCTATTCCTCATCTCATCAACTCCAATGCCTCGTTTCCACACAGCAGCACATCACGGGGTTTGTGGAGTTCAGTGCGCTATTTTGTCTGTTTCCAATATAAAGGTGACCCATAAGATACCATTGGTTGACCTTCTTCAGCCGTAGGTCCATAGGACAATTGTACTGTACATTTAGGGCAGAGATACAGACTCCTAAATACACTGGACCATAAAAAGTGTTCAGAACTCAGTGGACACGATCCATAAGTAATTTCCCCTTTTCTTAGTGAAAAAAAGCATCATCATTGAAGTTTGTGGTTGAAACCTGACAAAATGTGAAAAATTCAGTGAGTAAAAATCCATTTACAATGCACCGTACATTATTTACCTTTATTCTACAGCACAATGAGGCACATTGCAAGTTATGAAAGGTCAAACTGTGGATGTGAAGACAGCACAAGAACCAGGCACATCCATCCCAGAGGAAGGAACAGAAGAAGCATCTCAACAAACTCAGTGCCTGTGGCTCTACATCGGAAATGTATCTTTTTTTTTTTTTTTTTAAACACGGATCTTGGTAAAAAATAGACAATCCTTAAAAAAGTCTTCAGTAAGGGGTCCAAAAAGATATCAATACATTTCTCTGTAAGCACACAAGGCCCAACGCTTCACACAGGAGGAGAACTGTGAAAGGCTCTTGCTCTTTGAAAATCAAGCATCATTAAAGTACAAGGCATTGTGCAGATACATGCTCCCACATGTAAATTAATGGTATTCATAAATAAAAGGTAAACTGAAATTATTTTGGCCCAGATTTTTTTTTTTTCCACATCACAGTTAAAAACAAACCCACAATCAGAACGTCTGGCACAGTAATATGAAGTGCGACCTATAAGTTACATTGAGATACAATGAAGAGCAGCTGCTAGGAGTTGATTTTTGACTTGAGGGGGGGGAAGGCCACTCGGAATTACAAAAGGAGAAGATTAGCAGCAAATCCCAAAATGCATTAAAGAATAACAGAAGCAGCTGTGGTTAGTCCAGAAGCAAATAGTGTGAGGCAAGGAGGACATGGAAGTGCGGAGAAGATCGACCCTGGAGAATCTAAGCATGAAAGGACGAGAGAAACACTAAAAAAAAAAGGAAGGTGGAGGACTGCATTGAATGTAAAGAGCTAGGGACAGGACTAAGAGAAAACTGTAAAGAGAGAAGCCTCTTATCCTGCAGTGGTTGAGCAAAGGGAAGGTAAGAAGTGGAAGAGACCACCAGTGCACAGATGGTATAAGAATCAAACACCATTATTAAAAGCAGCCGCTTTAAGCCCAAGAAAGCTGGAGTAGATATGAGGGCGAGGTGCTCTGGGACGAGGGGACGGAGACGTGGGAAGCAGCAGGGTCTCACACATACACACCCTCAGGGTTGAGACTGGACACTAGAGGGTTTTGCAGGTTCCGCGGATGTCCTAGAAACTGCTTGGCCGTCGGGCGAGATGGAAATTCCACGGGAGTCGCACTGCGACCTGAAAAGGGGGTGGGGGGGGGGGGGGGGGAAAAAAGTTAGGAAAAAGGC